GTTTTGTTTTTTTGAAATGGGGTTTTTCTCTGTCACCTGTGGCAGGGTGCAGTTGTGTAATCATAGCTCACTGTAACCTGGGCTCCTGGGCGCACACAGTCCTCCCACTTGAGCTTCTTGAGTAGCTAGGATTCAGGGTGCACAACACCAAGCCTAATTTTTTTTTTTTATTTTTGAGACAGAGTTTTACTATGTCACCCTCAGTAGAGTGCATGGCATCACAACTCACAGCAACCTCAAACTCTTGGGCTTAAGTGATTCTCTTGCCTCAGCCTCCCAATTAGCTGGGAATACAGGCACCTACCACAGTGCCCGGCTATTTTTTGTTGCAGTTGTCATTGTTGTTTGGCGGCCTGGGCTGGACACCCAGGCCGGTGTCGATCCTGCCAACTTCAGCGTATGTGGCTGGTGCTGCAACACTGTGCTGTGGGCACCAAGCCAAATTTTTCAATTTTGATAGAATCCAATTTGTCTGTTTTTTCCTTGTGTTTCTTGTGATTTTGCTGTCCTATTTATTAATCTGTTGCCAAATCCAAGGTCATGAAGATTTACACCTTTGTTTTCTTTTAACGTTTTTATCATTTTAACTATAATATTTAGGTCATTGATACATTTGAGTTAATTTTTATTTATGGTATGAGGTAGGAGTCCAAGTTCATTCTTCTGCATGTGGAAATTAAGTTGTCATAGTACCATTTGTTGAAGAGATTATTCTTTTCCCATGAATGGACTTGATGTCAAAAATAAGTTGGCTGGCTCGGCACCTGTGGCTCAATCAGCTAAGGCGCCAGCCACATACACCTAAGCTGGTGGGTTCGAATCCAGCCTGGGCCCGCCAAACAACAATGATGGCTGCAACAAAAAAATAGCCAGGTGTTGTGGTAGGCACCTGTAGTCCCAGCTACTTGGGAGGTAGAGGTAGGAGACTTGCTTGAGCCCGGGAGTTGGAGGTTGCTGTGAGCTGTGATGTCACAGCACTCTACCCAGGGCAACAGCTTGAGGCTCTGTCTCAAAATAAATAAATAAATAAAATAAGTTGGCCAACCTGGATATGTGCTTGGAAGGCTGAGGTAGAAGAATTGCTTGAGCCCAGGAGTTTGAGACTAGTCTGAGCAATATAAAAAGACCCCATTTCTACCACACACACACACACACACACACACACACATACACAAAAGAGCTGGGCATAGTGGCTCATACCTGTACTCCTTCAGGAGGCTGAGTATCACATGAGCTTAGGAATTTGAGGTTCCAGTGACCTCTGATTGGGCCAATGCACTCTAGCTTGGGTGACAGAGTGAGACCCTGTCTCATAAAAAAAAAAAAAGGCCATAAATGCATGGGTTTATGAATGGATTCTCTCATTTCTTTTCATGGAATGCTTTACAAATTGCATGTCACCTCCCACAGGGACCATGCTAATCTTTTCTGTGTCATTACAACTTTGACATATGTGCTGTTAATAACTGGCAGCTTTGTAGGAGGTTTTGAAATCAGAAAGTACATATTTTCCAAGTTTGTTCTTTCTCATTATTATTCTGGCTATTCAGAGCCCTTGATAGGAATTTAAGGATTGGCTTTTCCATTTCTGTGAAAAAAGGCTATCGGAAATTTGATAGGGACTGCATTGAATCTGTGGATTGCTTTGGGTTGTACCAACATCTTAATATTAAGTCTTCTATCCATGAACATAGGATGTCTTTCCATATATACAGATTTTCCTTCTTTCATCAATGTTTTATTAGTTTTTAATGTATGAGTCTTTCAGCTCATTGGTTAAATTTATTTCTAGGTTTTTTTTTTTTTTTGAGACAGAGCCTCAAGCTATCCCCCTGGGCAGAGTGCC